CCATTAATGTCACACGGCTCCTTCAAGGAGGATCCATTGTCACACAGCTCCTCCAGGGAGGATTCGTTAATGTCACACGGCTCCTTGAGGGAGGATCTATTAATGTCACACGGCTCCTTCAGGCAGGATCCATTAATGTCACACGGCTCCTTCAGGGAGGATCCATTAATGACACATGGCTCCTTCAGGGATAATTAAGGAGGAACAAGAATCAAATTTGCATTAATTAAATTACCATCTTTATCTCAATACCTGAAATTTCAGTAAATCCAGGGATAAGGTTTATCAGTTTAGCTAACTATTACACAGCATGTGGAGAACCCAGTCTAACGTCCTTAGCACAACCACTTAACAAGTGCATGCAGCCCAGGCCATCAGTAAATCCAGGGATGAAGGGGTAAAGCAGGCCTGTTTAATGCAAATTAAACAGGCCTGCTTTACCCCTTCATGAAGTCTTGAAGTCTTGGCTTAATACAAATTAAACAGGCCTGCTTTACCCCTTCATGAAGTCTTGAAGTCTTGGCTTAATACAAATTAAACAGGCCTGCTTTACCCCTTCATGAAGTCTTGGCTCATGTTTGGGGATGGGGGAACTACACTCTGGGGATTACTATAATCACTATACTCCCTTGAGTATAATTACTAGCTCTTCTAAGAGCTGTACCTGCTACGCTCTGGAGGAGGAACGTTCTACCCACTGGGAGCTGGATCCTGGTCTTGAGTCCAGGGTGGGTGGAGGACGGCGAGACCCCAGCCAAGCTGCGGTGGTTCGTGGGGTCTACAGTGCTTATGGTATCTGGTGGAGTGCTTGGAGCCCTCAGAAAGCAGTAGGAGCATTGATTGGTGTAGGTACTCGGTCGGAGTGCCAGGCGGTCTGTCACATGGCTAAATCTAAAATGTAAACTTCGTCAAATCCCAAAGATATGTACACTCATTTACTCAGTCGACATAGGACCATTATATTAAGCCAGCAGTTACAATTTATATATACATTTAAACCCCCAACAGCCTCATTTACATACAATAGGTTACATAGAGCACTATAGTACAAGGAAGGGTGGGGTCAGACAATAGCAAGGCCTGATGGTAGATTGAGGAGAGACAAAGCAGCCAGTTTAAACTGGTCTGGCAGTGTCCCTGGGACAACGCCCTGCTGGATAAACAATAAGACAGGAAAAAGGGGGAGGGGAAGAGGCACAGACAAGCAATACATTCAACATACTCCTCCTCTGTTTCTGAAAGATAATTAATTATCTCCAGGTACAGAAAAACACAATTTACAAACACCCCAAAAGTACCGCCAAGATCCATTGAAACACTACAAGAGTCACATCCTCGGATAGCCTTGATCTGGGTGACCAACATATCCAAAAATCACCCAGATCGGTTCAGTGGTTTGTTTTTTTCATGGAAGTCACTTTTTAAAATGTCTTTTTGCAGGGCCCATACTCCTGGGGCAAGAGGCTGGCAAGCAGGCCCCTCCAAGTACCAGTGGCGAGGTTACTTTCGCCACAAGCCATAACCAGAGGAACTTACTGGTGAATTCACAATCTATTTCTTAAGTGAGGAGGAGTTCCACAGGGTCTGGAAAGACCGCATTCACATTTTATTGCCGCCCCAGCCAGATTAGACAGTGTAGAACATTGTTGGGCTTTTCATACAGCTGGGCTCTGATCTCTGCGTATTGTCCGACAACTTCCCACAATATCTTTTAAAGTCAGAGGGAGATACACCAAGGGTCTCCTGGCTTCATGCCACCACTAATTAATCAAATCATTCCTAAAGATCAGCAATCATCAAAAATGTAACTCATCAAAAGTACTAGGTAAAATCCAATTCGTCATTATCCACTCATATAGAGGCAGCCTTTAGCATTGTCTGCTAGACAAATCTCGCAATACATACACAACACTCTATGCATTTCACATTAGGGATGTGTATGGGCAAAAAACTTGATTCAGTTTGGAAATTTGGGTAAGTAAATAAATTTGGCACTTCGGTTTAGTTCGGCACTTCCGAAATTCGGGACTTCGGAAATTCGGACATTCGTAAGCATCCATCTTTTTCCGCCAATACCACTTACACATCTGTAGGGCTCCATAATAACCACAACCACTTACACATCTGGGGGTAGGGTTAGGTGCCCGGACTGCCACTACAACCACTTACACATCTGTAGGGCTCACAGTGCCAGGAATTAGCTTATTGGTCTAGATTCCTGTCATCATTCACGTAATTTTCCCTCCCTCTCTTGTTTTGCCACTTTTCAGAAATCCGAAGCACTTCGGCACTTCTGAAATTCGACAATTCAGTTCGGCACTTCGGTAATTCGACACTTTGGCAATTCGGATCTATTCGGTACTTCCAAAATTCGGTAATTTGGACATTACCGAATGTACGAATTGCTAAAATTGTCCGAATTTACATTCGAAACTAATTGCACATGTCTATTTCACATTAACACATACTTTAATAAGACTGAATATATCTCTGCTCATTACATTCTCCTGTGTGCATTCTAAGGTAACTGCTCTTCGTAAACTACACACAGAAACTCCTTTTTTTTGCTTTGTGCATTAAACCTCTAGGATATCCTTCAGAATGAACACAGGTGTACTTAACCCCTTAAGGACACATGCCATGTGTGACATGTCATGATTCCGTGTTATTCCAGAAGTTTGGTCCTTAAAGGGTTAAAGCATCTGTTAACCCTGCAATGTTATTAATGCAGGAGTTCATAGGAAAGCATTGAATACAATGTGGAGAAGCAGGAATATGTGCAGCATTGGCCACACATGCACATCAGCTCCCAATGTTCCTCTATGAGGCTGGACCTCCCTGATGAGGCAGAGAGTAAAAAAGCTTTATTTTATTAATTTTTATGCAAAAGAAAGGGGGTGACTGTAACGGACCGTTTTGCACACAAGAGGTTAAAAAACGTTTAGGCGATATTCCCCTTTTAAATACATGAACAGCTGCTGCAAGCACCAATCTCCCGAATTGCAAACACATGAATACTCAAACTCCCGAACAGGAAACACTCAAATTCACCAACTCCCGAACCGGAAACACACAAATTCACCAACTTCCGAACACACGAATGCTGTAAACAGCCGAACAGGAAAAACCATACGAACAGCTTACACTCCTGGCAGTCGCACTGTAACAGCATCCAATCCAATTCCCCCCAAGAACGAGACGACACTTCGTTTGAGGATCCAGCAGAACTGATTTACTGAGGCTACCTGCCCGGCTTTTATGAAGCCCCTTGTGGACACTCCCCTAGGGGACCAGATGGAAGACTGGGAAACATATTGGACATTAACCAATCACAAGCTTACAATCCCACAATGCATCACAATCCCTCCTCTCTGTCCTGGAGATAATTGGGAAGTAATCCAATTATCTCCAAGGACAGAGGCAAAACTCCATTAACCACATGGCAGACAAAGGACAATAAAAGACATAAAATTACATACTGTTACATTTATCACATAGAACATACACATTCTATCTATCCCCAGATAGCTTAGATCTGAGCGCACATTATTACCGAATGGCGCTCAGATCACATACATACAGTTCAATCGCCATGGAGCCAAAGTCTTTCATACAGTCTTTCAGTATACGGCTGGGCTCCATGGCATAGCTATCTGGGGTAGCATGGTTTAAACAGTAAAGTACCGAATGGACTGGTGTTCAAATAATTGACTGCAGGTAGGAGAAGGGGCTCAACGGTGTTTGTGACTTTAACAGTCCGCAGAAAGGCACGAACCAGCCTTTCTTCAGGGAAAAAGAACAGTGTTAAACATGGGGCCATAGTCCAGTGGCAGGAGGCGGGTGACCAGGCTCCTCCTTGGCCAGTGGCGAGGTTGGTTCCGCCACAGTGACCTATATATCACTATGGGCACTATAGAGTTAGGAATACAGATCTGTACTCCTAACATTATAGTATTATTTTAAATAAACTATACCCCGCAAAGAACACCGATTGTGACAGAGTTCCTGTACTCAGAGTACCTCCGCTCAGTTCGCTTCCTAGACGCTTGCCGGGACCCTGCGGCAGTTCAACCACAGTCAACGAAGCTTGATTGGGGTCTCTGCAGCTTTTCCACCTGAGTAGGCTGCAGCTTTCTCCTTCCAGGCATGTATCGTCCCTGTGGCAGGATCGCTGCCTGTAAGTGATATGCTGTATGTCATTCCCCGTAATTTTCCCCTATATTGTGTGTTTTCTTGTGGTTTGCCTACTCCCCCTAAGTCAACGAGGTGTGAAAACCACAAACAGCAAGGGAAGCTTCGGCGTGGTGGCCCGTTCGTTAAACGAACACCATTCAGAGGGAGCATTCGCGTATTGCTTCACACCAATCAATTAGAACGTTGGCAACTTGCAACATAAGTGTGAAACCGCAAATTAAGTAATTAATGAGCACTTCCCAGGGTGGCTGCTCTTTGTACAGACGAACACCGGCTATGGGGTGCGTTCGTCTCCTGAAAGGAGATACTTCCCTTACTTTGTTTCACCCAGGGACCCCGCGAATGGAGACTGTTGCTGTTCTGGGGCTCCCTAAAATTGCTGTGGACACTCTTTGGGGACAATAGTGGTTTGGCGGGCTTTCTGTGCTTGGGAGCCCAGAAGGCGGGAGTCTTTCCCGCGCTGAAACTCCCAGGTACAGAGGGTCCTGGGAAGAAGACCCCATGCCACGGGAAGTGGGAAACCCTGTACTTGGGCGGCGGGAACTGGGGACAAAAGAACTGGAATCCCTGTCACACGCACAGGCCCTAGGGAGGGGGAGGACCCAGGTAGGTGACACCAAATGGAGGGACAAAGGGATTAGCGTCTGGTTCCGTCAGGGTCGGATTAACATAGGGGCTGATGGAGCTGCAGCTCCAGGCCCAGGCCCATTGAATAGGCCCATTTAAAAAAAAAATATAAAAATATTTTTTTTTCCACACACTACTCTCAGGTTTGCCATCAGACTGGTATTTCACTGGCACAGTCGGTATTTGAGGCTGCCTGGCCGTGCCGGTATTGCAGTAATACCGGCAATACAAATGCAGGTATTTTTCTCAGAATAAATGGAGATTACTCTGCAATACCAGCACTGGCCAGTAGGGGTCACTGTGTGTGGAGAGAGGCAGGGATAGGAAGTTACAGAATATCCCTGCCTCTCTCTACTACTCACTGATCCGTGGCAGAGCAGCAACACAGCACAGAGTCCAGACAGCAGCTCTACAGCTCAGGTAAGTGAAGGAAGGGGGGAAAGGCAGCAGGGACACATGGGGACACTGAGACACTAGGGGACATATGGGGATACTGAGACACTAGGGGACACAGACACTGGGAACACAGACACTTGGGGACACTGGAAAACATGGGGACACTGAGACACTAGGGGACAATGGGAGAACTGGGGACGCTATGAGAAATAGGGACATTGGGACACGGATACACTATGTCCTCCAGCCAGTGTCCCTAGTGTCTGTGTCCCCAAGTCTCCCAGTGTCTGTGTCCTATGTCTCTCAGTGTACCTAATGTCCCTATATGTGTCCCTATATGTCTATGTCCACAACTGTCCCCATGTCTCCCAGTGTCCCCAAGTGTCTGTCTCCCAGCCAGTGTCCCCTAGTCTGCCAGTGTCTGTGTTCCCATGTCTCTGTGTCCCTAGTGTCTTAGTGTCCCCAAATGTTTCAGTGTCCCCATATCTCCCAGTGTCTGTGTCTCTAGTGTCTCAGTGTCCCCATTTCTCCCAGTTTACCTACATGTGTCAGTGTCCCCATGTCTCTGTGTCCCCGGGTCTCTCAGTGTCCCCATGTGTCCAGTATTCTAGTGACATGGGAATTCAAGGAGAATTCAAGGAGAAACACTGAGACATTGGGACACTGGGAGAAATGGGGACTGGGCGATATGGGAACACTGACACTGTGATACATAGGGACACTGAGACACTGGGTGACTTGCGAGACAGTCACTGGGAGACAGGGAGACACTGGGAGCAATCCATCTATACAGCAGAATCAAACTGTGAGTAGTTTGTTGGTGATTTTACTGAATTTTCTCTGATGTCATGTGATGTCACGCATAACTAATTAATTATACAAATGATTAAGGCTGGTATTTTTTCCAAGAAAGGTGGCAACCCTAACTACTCTTCACATACTCTTGCTTAACCCCTTAAGGACACATGACATGTGTGACGTGTCACGATTCCCTTTTATTCCAGCAGTTTGGTCCTTAAGGGGTTAAAGGACCACTATATGCACCCAGACCACTTCAGCTTAATGAAGTGGTCTGGGTGCCAGGTCCAGCTAGGGTTAACCCCCCCCTTTTTTTTTAATTATAAACAAACCAGTTTCAGAGAAACTGCTATGTTTATAAATGGGTTAATCCAGCCTCTAGTGGCTGTCTCTTGACAGCCGCTAGAGGCGCTTGCGTGCTTCTCACTGTGAAAATCACAGTGAGAAGATGCAAGCGTCCATAGGAAAGCATTATGAATGCTTTCCTATGAGACTGGCTGGATGCGTGCGCGGCTCCTGCCGCGCATGCGCATTCAGCCGAAGAGGAGGAGGAGAGC